TGAACACTCAGACCCACTCCGAGGTTGATGCTGACCCATTTGGGTTGCTCTGACCCACAATCAGCACATCTTTCGTTGCCTGGTACTCAACGAATTTGCTCGAACGTCGTAGTAGCATCCGATACTGTTAGAGCAGGGACACTTCCAGATTGAGAAACTCCGCCAGAGGGTGTAGTAACACTGCGATTGTCCGATGACTTGCTGGACGAACTGGGACGAGCGGCCTCAAAGAACATACAGTAGTGATAGTAGTAAGGCAAACTGCACATAAACTCCATTTAATTGAGTAGTAAGGTATTACATCATCACTTTCGTGAAGGGCTAAAATGGTTCGTTGCAGGGCACGCATCCAATCATTGCACAAAGCCTCAGAGTCGGCTTGCAGAAGATGACTTCTGAATTAGCAGTAATTACAAAAGAACCATGCCCTAACAATCAGCTTAGCACACTGATTCCCTAAGAAGCTAGCACTGCATTGTGATGATTGGTTGCAAAAGTGCTCAAAGCCCTGAAAATCGCTGAATAATACAAACCGGGTGGGTGTCACTAGCTCGAAGCAGCCGACGCGATCAACTGACGCTGGAGCTGGACGAACAAGACACAACATCAAGTTTTCCTCCATTACCGTGGGTTCTTCTGACTCTGCGGTGCGATGAGAGTACAACTGAAAAGAAAGCATAAGGCGTAGGTCATTCAGGGTTGCTCAATCCCTTTTTGATATGCCATGAATTGTAGGTCAGATAAAACAAACCCGTGGTGACATGTTGAAAGCTATTTCACTCGAACTGAGGCAGCTTCAGACTTCGCGATGGCGCGCTGTAACGCGCATCGACGCGCACCATTTGCAAAAGCGCTGCAATCCTGTAGACGCGAACGCATCCGCAGACTCGGTCGGCGCCGCCTTGTGTTTTGAGAAAGAGATCATAGGATGAACAGGAGGGCAGGCGCTGCCCTCATTCAATCTGGTACTCTTCAGTTCTTTATACCAGTCGCATCGCCCGGCTGAAGCCGAGCTCTCCTCCTTCTCTTTAGCCCGGCTTCGCCGAGCTGGCCTGGCTTCGCTAGGCGCGCTTCATAATGGAGAACGGAATTTGTTTATTCACTGAGCTTCTAATTGCAAGAGGGGTGGTAGCCTGGGTCATAACGCTCATGCTATCTCGAATAGATCTGTAGATGTAGATAGAAAATACAGCCGGCCAATAGCGATGCTAATACTACGTTGTTAGCTGCCAATTTTTATACTCCTTTATTAGCCG